ACGGTGATGTTGGTTGCCTCCAGCTCCATCTGATTCGTACGTTCCAACCGTTTCTGCTCTCTCACAATATGATGCATGTCCGCACCGCCTGCCAGGTCTTGACCAGCAATATGTTTTGTGGCTGCCCTCCAAAGGTATCCTCGGACGTCAGCCTCCGCGCCCTCGAAGAGTGCCTGGAAGCTGCCAGTTGGAGTGAAGCCTGGGTCTCCAGCCGCTGGGTATCCCACTGGTCCACAGGGTCGTCGTCAAACTCCGCAGGTCGTAACCATGATGTTGCCGTAACTGGGCCCCATCCCATGTCCATCAGTGTATCTATCAATACTGAGATCGGTCCACGTGCCGAGCTCCAGCGTCGCACTCCAGATCGTTGTAGTCGGTCGCGAATACCACCCCACGCTGCACATGCTCGTCCATGCAAGTGTGGGTTCCTCTGCCACGTTGTTATCCATTCCTTGATCACTTGGATGGGGATATACACTGCTGGGTCCTGGACCGTCGGGTCACATCCCAACGTCGTAGTAAGGCAGCGGCCCTTGGCAGCGCCACCAATCATGAACCCAGCCTGCCGTCGCAACTGCAATGCCATTTGTCTGCTCAGCCCCACCACCTGATGACCATATAGTGCCTGGGGTACCACTCCAGTGCTCCATAGCGACCGCGCGCTCTTTGAAAGGGCTCCTATCCTCCGAAGCCTGCGTATCTTGCTTGCTCTCCTGCGCGCACTCTTGATCCGTTCTCAGCTTCCGTATAGACCGCTTGCGCCCCGCCGATGTGTCCAGGCCCAGGTCCACCGCTTCCGTGACTGCCGACACAGGTAGTCCTCGAGCGCGCAACTGGCCCGCGACTCTCCTGGTGATGCTTGGGTTCGAGCCGAGCAAGACTGTCTTAGACGAGATGACCATGCGATGGTCCTCCAGACCTGTCTTCAGGTCCATGGCGGCGGTTGTCATCGCAGGCCCAACCGAGGCGCGGCTACCATCACACCTCGCCGCCGCGTCGTCAACGAACGTCCAGAGTCCCGCAGCGGGCGACCGCCCATGCACCATGTCCAGAATAGGGCGCAAAAGCAGTTTGGCCAGGCCCACGCCCCTCGGGGACCCTGCAACCAGAGAACGAGACGGCAAACTCACTCTGCTCAAAACTGAACTCGGTTGTAGGAACCTCGGAGCCAAATATTGCTGGACCTCCAAGGGGATAAGGGCCGCTGGGCGGCCCATCCTGCTCGCAATCCGTATCAGTTGGGCCAGAGACACCGAGTCATAGAACTTCTCGGTGTCTAATAACAATGCGAGCGAACTGAAGCCCAAGGATGCGCCCGCTTCGCCCATGCACGCTCTGACCAAGCCAACTCGTAGCGCTGATGGCCCTCTCAGCGCCGTGTCCCAGTGGTCAGTCAGCTCCTGGGACCAGGACTCACTCAACGTAGCTCTCACCTTGCTCCAAATCTTCGGTACCACCGTAACCATTCCCAATGCTCTGTCGCCTCCCTTGGGTTTCGCCGCTAACGCACATCTCGTCACTGAACACTGCCTCGGCCACGCGCAATTCTCCTCCGCATACTGGATGAGGCCGCGCAGTTGCTCTCGAGCAGGCTCGGGCAGGCGTCGGATGGCGCCAGGTCCCAGGGAGTCGAAACCCAAGGCCTTCGCGTCACTCATCCTGTTGACCACTCTGTCAATGCTCTCCAACGTGAGGTCAGGCAGTTCCTCCTCCAACGCCTCCTTCGAGAGCTGGTGGAGTTCCTTTGGCGGCTGCCTGGTGTCAGCGGGGTCGGTCCAGATGCCCGCCCAGTACTCCGACTTGTGCGCCATCACCGTGTCGGGGCCCGCGATCTGCCTCTCGATGCCGATGGTCACATCCACTGCAGGCGCCGCCTTCTCCTCCACGTGGCGATGTAGCGCGCCTGGCGCCTTGATCCAGGTCTGCTTCGCCCACTTGACAAATTCCTGCCTTTGAATGGTAATGCCACGCGCATGGGCAATGGTCGCATGGCGCTCCACCTTGTGGGTGTACTCCTCTAGCTCCTGCACACTCATCGTCTTGGCGGTAGTGGCCGTCTCATACACTGCCAACCTGTCATCGTCCGTGATGTTCTTGCCGGAGACTTCCTCCTGGTTGAGCTGCTTCAGCACCGCGATCCCTTCGTTGAACTGCTTCACGCACTGCCTCTGCTGCCTAGGATCCGAGTCGTGTCTGCGTAGAGCCAGGTACCTCGTCAGCAACGTCATGCAGATGCTCCAGTGCTCTGCCGCCGCATACTTCAGGTGTGTGCGTCCTGGTGTAGGCCTCGCACGCGCCCGTCTGACTCCAAGTCCAGCTGCTCGCCCCATGTAGGCGTCATGTTGCGTCTCATCGATGCGGCTCGATATCAGGGTTGCCTTCTCCAGACAAATGGCCCGCTGGCCATGCGCTTTCGTGACGCGATGCTCAGCGTCCCGGGTCTCCGTGCTGCCATACGTGAGGTAATCATCCATCATCTTCCTTCAGTCACATCAAAGTGGCTGTCCGTAAACTTCACCGTATTCTGCCAAGGGTCGAACGGTATGAAGTACGGTACGTCCTCCGTGTCCTCGTGGTCGTCCTCTAGAATCTCGCTGAATGCATTCTGGTACTCCGTGTCAAGGCGGTCGAGGCGCTTCTGCTTCTCCTGTTGGCGCTTCAAGGACCGCTTGCTACTCGGGTCGGGCTGCTTCTTGGGCCTCCTCAGCTCTGGCAGTGGCCTCGGGAGTGCCGCTGCTCGATGAAACCATGACTGACCTGCTCCATGCAGGTGCAGTCGCAGCCCACAGCGTGTTCTCCACGGCACGCTGAATAGCACAGTCGATGACAATATGTGGTGCATGTCACTCCTTACGATGCCGTAGTCAATCAAGCTGCCCTTGCCCTTGTCGCATGTGACCAGGGCGTCCGCCTTGATGAGGGTACCCCCTATCTGCTCCAGCCACTGGGAGTCCTTCATCTTTACGTAGGGGATGTTCCAGTCCGCCATGATCACCCACGGGTCCGTAAGCGACTTCACAAACGCCGACATTGCCGCGATACGCGCCTGGTTGACGCCGCCGAAACCGTCCTTCGGGAGGAGGTAGCCCGACACGAGCACCACGTTGCCGCCCTTCAAGTGGACCGTAGCCGCCGAGAACCCCACGAACGGGTCACAGTAGCCCTCCTTGACCATCCTCATCCTCAGGTCATCGTAGCCTGTCGCCGCCACATGCGACCTGATGGCGATGCATTCACCACCTGAGGTGCCCGTGGTGGAGCGGCCCGTACTCTTAGCCGCCGTCGCTATGAACTTCCACCCATCATTCGCCACCACTCTCGTCACTTCCTTGATCTTAGCTGCCGCCAGATGTGTCTCACACATCATGAAAACGTCCATGTCGTTGCCTGGCTCGTTGAGGAACTTTCGGGCCGAGGGCCCCCATGTCGTACTATTGGCGAAGGCGATGCGAAAGAGTAGACTGATCCTTGACAGCCGCCCCCATCGCAACGTCCTCGTCGTTGTCCCTCTGGCTGCCCGCAGGGGCCAAACGGGCCGCAGGGCTCGCTGTGGCTGTCGACCGGGCCTTCTCGATGCGCTGCTGGGACTTCTGCTTGAGGCGCTGAGCGGCTCCCTTGCGCTTGGTCTCGCGGCTCGTCTGTTGCCCAGCAACCTCCTGCGATGCCCCAGCAGTCGACTGCGTTGCCTTCGGTGGCGCCACAGCGCCCTCTTCCCCTACTTTGCGTCTCTTCGCCTCGAGGTGCGCATTGCGCATCTCCTTAGCCTGCTTCGCCAGGTTGTCAAACTGCTTGTGCTGCGCGTGCGCATTTTTGACCAGCTCCGCGAGCGACTGCATGTCCTCTTGAATTTGAGCAGCTTGTCGCGCTCCTCGGACTGGTACTCCTCCGAATCCTCGAAGATCGCCTCGTCGACCTCAGGGGCCTTCCACTCCGTGTTGGGATCAGGCGGCACCACCAGGGGCGACGGCTTCGTCCTGGTGTAGTACTCGTCCAAAACCTTCGCATGCTCATTCTCCGCCTCCTCCATGCGAGCCGCCGCCTCATCCTGTGCCAGTAGTGCCTCTTCCATGCGCTTCTGAGCAAGTATGACCGCCGACGTCGCTGTGTCCAACTCCTTCTGAGCCTGCTCCTTCTTGTTGACCGCCTGCTTGAGCGCCAGGCTCTGTGGGACCTCTCTCTTCGGCTTCTTCGGGATGGCCTCCACGACCTGGCCCTTGAAGTCGCGGAGGGCCTGCAGATCCACTTGCACCTTGTAGCCACCCTGCTGGGCCTCGAACTTCTTGATGATCGCATCCAGCTCCTGTTCAGGCGTGAGGTTAGGACTTCCATCCTTCCACCAGGGTGGCTTCTCCTTGTCCTTCGTGCGCTGCATGACGGGGTTGATGAAATCGTTGCAGTTGTCACGCCAGCCACCAGACCTCTGCAGCTTCCAGTCATAGACCCAGCCACCACACGAGCCGCACACCGTATACGACCGCGCCTTGGGCATGGGGCCCGCTCTGGACGGCAGCGCGCAGCTCGACCGCCCAAGCTTCGACGACAACTCCCACGGCGGAGGCACAAACAGCCTGCCAGGCTCGGAAAGTCTTGCTTGGGGAGTGGCCTCAAAGCGGAACCTCCCTCGCGCTCAGAAGTCGCCCCGAGAGACTCGCGGTCGTCGGGACGGTTCATTGCCTTGAGCCAAAATGGCTACGGAGGAGGGAGGAGGGAGGAGGGAGGAGGGAGGAGGGAGGAGGGAGGAGGGAGGAGGAGGAGAGGAGGAGGAGGAGGAGGAGGAGGAGGGAGGAGGAGGAGGAGGGGAGGGAGGAGAGGAGAAGGAGGGGAGGAGGAGGAGGGGGGAGGAGGAGGAGGAGGAGGAGGAGGAGGAGGAGGAGGAGGAGCAAGAGGAGAAGAGGAGGAGGACGGGTCGCCTGAGCCCTTCGGAGAAACCCTCCAATCGCCACCCGCCCGAAAACGCCCCCGCTCCTCCCCCTCGTTGCCCGTGGAGCGGCCGCGCGGGCCTCCGACGAGAAGGCGTTGGCGGTGGCCGGGGCCCCGACCAAGAACGTGGCGGCGCTGGCGAGGTGCTCCCTCGCGGGGGGAGGGGGGGGGAGGAGGTCGAGGATGCGCCGCGGGGAGGAGGGGATGAGAGGAGGGGAGGGCCGAGCACGAGGGGCGACGAACGAGCGAGAGAGAGGGAGAGGGAGCGAGGGAGTGAGAGAGAGGCATGCAGGCAGGCAGAGAGCGGCAGAGAGTGGCAGGGAGTGACCAACACTCGGGGGCGCGCGATCCATGGATTTGGCGCGCGGTCGCCAAATCCAT